TAGTAAAGTAGAAATTAATTTATAAATTAATAGAAATGGGTTCATAGATCAGGCCAATTATTAATTCATTGTAACCAAGAAAATAATAAACCCAAAGGATTCTCACTCATATCCCAACTTGATATTAGAATTCTATTAGATTTGATATATATGAGTTAGAGATTGAGAATGATTTATTATTTTCTTTCCTTATCTTTATGTTACTTATATATACATGGTCCAAGTATATTTTAGGAGAGACTTTTGAAGAAGGAAAAAGGAATATATTTTCTCTCTCTAGAAATTTAGGGTTAGTGTTTTCATCTAATGGAGATTCCCACAAGCCTCGTTTTTCAAGGTCATTTATGGAGGCTTATAGGTAATTTCTAAAGGCAAAACCACTACCAAGAAGATGGAGATTTAAGGAGAATGTATCTTGCTAAGGGAATTACAATAAGTGGAACATTCGCTTTAGAGGAAAGATTTAAAGGTTTTCTTAAACCTTTGATATAAGTATCTATTAATTGAATGATACATCATACTTTATTTTTGCATAAAATTTGTCTCTATGTGATGGATCAAAATCTATGTATGAAAACTCCTCAAAAAATTTTTAAACCTTGCATGTTTCCTAACAAATCCTTCTTTAATTTTAGAACCGAAATCGAATATTTTCATTGAATCAAACTACATGATTTGATTAGGTTCAATTTGTTCCACCGGTTCTAACATTTTAATTTTTAAACCGAATACAAATATTTTATTTAGTTAAATGGAAGGAAGAAATGATATTAAGTTATTATTGAACTTGTTTATTTAATTTTTTCATTAGCTAAGTAATTTCATTTTTATATATCTAAATGCGTATTTGTACATGGAGGGACTCAACATAGGATTAGTGGGGCCGGATACCTACTAAATTTTTTATATTTTAATTTTATGCTTTAAATTTTTAAAAATTTGTAAACATGCCCCACTAAAATTACAATTTGTTTCACTAATTTTTTTTTTTTTTTGAATTTTATATTTTAAATTTTTTAGAATTTATGAATATGCCCCTCTAAAATTATAATTTGCCCCACTAATTTTTTTGTTTTCATTTTATACTTTAAATTTTTAAAAATTTATAAAATAAAACTCTATTAAAGTAATAAAAATAAATTCATTATATAAGTTTGCCTTCATAAAAGATTCCCCCACACAAAATTTTTTCAATCTATATGTATATATAAAAATATATACTGTATGAACTCCCGGAGCTTTGAGGCATCACCTTCCCACTTTATTTTATTCTGGATGCTGACGAATGTTAGGTGGGGTGAGGGTGACGAAACCGAGGTGTATCAAGTCAATCCAATTAATGTGATTAAGAAACAATATGATATGTGCACCACCAGCCTCGATAGTTTGCTGGATGTGAACACTTACTAGTTGTTGATACTGACGCATACCGTCCATGCCACACGAGAAAGTATTAAATAGCCGGAGGTAGGGTGTTCCGGGTCGTTCCAACCCATTAATGTGGTGGGGCCATCACTCCCGGTATGATATTCAGGAACAATGACAACTCTTCCATTATGAATGAGGTGGTAGGGCGGCTTAATATTATTTGAAGTTTTAGACGAAAGATATAAAAATAAATTTTTTATATTTAATATATATAATTAATTTTTCTTATCACATAATTAATCTTAGAATTTCTACAATTTATACTGAATGAAAAATGATAAAAAAATATATCAAAAATAAGAAGGAAAAAATAAAAAAAACAAAGAAGATAAAAGTTTAAATAAAATATGGAATGGATAAAAAGAAACGGTGAATGAGAATCTGAAAAAAAAGAAAAAGAAAAAAAAAGGGGTAAGATAAAGATAGAAATATTTTAGCCCCTACTAAATATAAAAAATTTAAGGAGGTATAATATAAGAAAATAAAATTTTAAAAAATAAAAAATAAAACCGAGGCTTTTCTATTGGGCAAAGTTTAATAGTAAGAAAGAAATAACATTTTTAAAAAGGTTATAATATAAACAAATAACATTTTTAGGAAAGTTATAATATAAACAAATAAAATTTTTTGAAAGTTGTAATATAAAGAAATACAAATTTTGAGACCTCTACATTGGCCGGAGTGATATAGGAAGGAAATAAAATTTTAGAAAGGGTACAATACCAAAAAAAAAAAAATTAAAAAATTAAAAAAAAAAATTAAGGCCTTCCTAATGGCTAAGCCTTAGGCAACAACCTAAGTCACCTAAGGGTTTAGCCATCCCTGTGTAGTGGTAGGTCCTACCATATTTAAGGGTTGGGATGACCCCGAAATACCATACTCCCAGGATATTTAATACTTTCTCTATGCAGCATATTGTGGCATCCTAAAGAAAAAATGTAGAACTTTGTTACTACCTTTAAAAGACTTGGATCCTCTAAGTTAAATATTTTCTAAGTTATACTAAGTTTTTTTTTTTTTTTTTTTTTTTTTTTTTTTTTTTTTTTTTTCTAAATGCTATCCTGAATTGAATTTGTAACAAATTGACACGTGACATTTAAAATTTAATTACTGTTGGTGTTAAATCATGTCACATAATAACCAATAAGTCACAGACTCTCATATATTTATATATATATAAGTAGTAAAATTTCATGAAATTTTCATGAGTTATTTAATTATATACTCTACCATTCAAATGGAAGGCGGCTAGAGTCATAGATGTGGTGTGGGACCACCAATTAAAAAGTCAAGTATGGTGAGTCACAACTAGCCTTCATTATATTTATTCACGGGTTAAACCTTGCACACTTTTCACCTTAAGAGACGAGAAAATGTTAATAACCAATAAGTCACAGACTCTCATATATTTATATATATATAAGTAGTAAAATTTCACAGACTCTCATATATTTATATATATATAAGTAGTAAAATTTCATGAAATTTTCACGAGTTATATAATTATATACCCTACCATTCAAATGGAAGGCGGCTAGAGTCATAGATGTGGTGTGGGACCACCAATTAAAAAGTCAAGTATGGTGAGTCACAACTAGCCTTCATTATATTTATTCACAGGTTAAACCTTGCACACTTTTCCCCTTAAGAGACGAGAAAATGTTAATAACCAATAAGTCACAGACTCTCTATATTTATATATATATATAAGTAGTAAAATTTCATGAAATTTTCATGAGTTATATAATTATATACTCAACCATTCAAATGGAAGGCGGCTAGAGTCATAGATGTGGTGTGGGACCACCAATTAAAAAGTCAAGTATGGTGAGTCACAACTAGCCTTCATTAGTACTCTAGAAAAGGAGGAGGCCTGGCTGGCTGGCTGGCTTTGACCCTGAACCTGAATAAATTAATTGCGCATTTATACTTTGCATATTTCCATGGGGAAGAAATTCAGGGCTGAATGCAAAACATGATAAATAATTTTTAAAAATAAGCTTATTTGATAAAATTTTAGGACACCAATTTTAAGCATGGAAAAGATTACTTATCGCAGAACACAGTAAGTCATTGGATTTAAAAAATAATTTTTTAATGACTACTCTACCATTATATAATTGTGTTATCTGTTTTAGGGTTTCTCTCTGCGATTTTTCTAATGAAAATAAATTACATGTAACAAATTCAAAAAAAAAAGAAAAAAAACATAATTCTACCTAATATATTTTAATTTTTAAACACGTATATAGCCTTTTGGTTACTATTTATATTGATTCACTCTATAAAACAATCATTTATATAACATAATTTTATTCAATTTCACGTATTTTCTTTAATATTTTTAATACTATTTTTATACCCACATCATTTTTATACCCTACAAAAATATTATATAATTATTTATATAATAGAATTTTATTATCAGAGAAGAATTGTCTTTCACATACTTTCTTTAACACTCTTTTCAATATTTTACCATGTGATCCAAAACCCATATATTTTAAATTTTACTTTCTTTAATCTTTTATAACATACTTTTTGATATCCAAAACCTATATACTTTAAATTTTTATTAATTATTTATCTAATAGAATTAATTTTTTATTTTTATTTTTTGTTAATAGTGGGTATCTGGGCTAGCTAGTGCGTACCTCAACTAATCCTACAGGCCCTGAAAATATATAATAGAATTATGTTCCTAGATAAGAATTCTTTTTTACTTTCCTTAATTTTTGCAACACATTTGTTAATACCCTATATAAATATTATGTAATTCAAAACACATATATTTTAAATTTTACTTTTTTTAATTTTTGTAACACTATACCTACATAAATATTATGTTATCCAAAAATCAACAGATTTAAAATTTCCATCAAATATTTATATAATAGAATTTTATTCCTAAATAAGAATTATTTTTCAAGTATTTTCCTTAATCTTTGTAACACCCTTTTTAATATCTTTACCTAAATATTATTCAATTCAAAACTCATATATTTTAAATATTATGTAATACAAAATCCATATATTTATTTATTTCATTGGGTGAATGTGGTTGTTTTATTAATATTTTTGCATTATAAATATAAAACTGTTATGAGTATCATATATTGAGAGCAAAAATGTAATATGTACAACTTTCAGACTTCAGCTTTTGTATATAACAAATAATCTTAATGAATTCAGCACTTATAATTAAAATGTAATTAAACAGGTTTTCAAATTAATACATTCAGTGCTTAAAGTTTCAGCGCTTAAAATTTAGTGCTTGAAATTTTCAGTTTTATCAAACAGCACCTGAGGTTATATTTGCTACAAGAAAGGATAATATTAGTTATGAAATAAATAAAAAGAAAGAATAATTTTAATCCTCCATCATATTTGATTGATTAATAAAATAAATATATATATATATATATATATATATATATATATTTATCTTTTAAAATAGAAAAAGGTATAATAATAAATTTTTTGAAATGATCATTATATATATATATAATGATCATGTTTGAAAAAAAAAAAAATTTATTATTTCAAAAAATTTATTATTATACCTTTTTCTATTTTAAAAGATAAATATATGTATATATATATATATATATAGTGTCTCCTGTACATTTAACAGGCCCATGGCATGGATGATGGGCCACAAGAAAAGAAAAAATAAAATTTAGGGCAAATCATTTCAGCCTTCCCAATCTCGCCGCCTCCCATCTCTATTCTCGTTCTCAACTCTCTCTCTCTCTCTCTCTCTGCACTACAAGAATTAGAAGTTCAAAACCTATATATTTCAGTTTTTCTATCTGTCTGCAAGAATCAAAAGTTCAAAACCCATATCGGCATATCATTTCAGATTGTTCAAAAAAATCAAAACCCATATCTTTCAGTTTCCATCGCCGCTGTTCCAGTTCGGGTTCGCCCTTCGCAAGCTTCAGCCGCTGTCCGCCGTCTTACGCTATCTCTGCAACTGCTAACTTGTATGTATCTATAATTCTTGTTTTGCAAACTTGTGTAATCTTGAAGGTAAATTTGGCATCACCAAAGATACATCAAGCTCTCCTTCCATTTCCTTAAGAAAGTTACTGTTTGAGCCTTGTGCTAACCCTCCAAAACCATCCCTTTCCTTTCCTTTTCTTCCAACCATTTATGCCAAGCACAAATTTTTAATCACCCTCCATCACCTTCCCTTTCCTTTCCTCCCTTCTCCATTGCACCAAACTGACCCTGACTTTTTTATTTCGCTTTCATCTTGTACGCCATCGGCCAACCAAAAAACCTATCCTATGGTTTTCTGAATTAATATTGTGAAGCATGAGTAATACCATAATTCTTTTCTTGTATTCTATTTTTTTCATGTTCACAATAATCTGTGATGCAGTAGAATTAGACACCATAACTGCAACTCAATCTCTTACTGATGGGCAAACCATGGTCTCTTCAGACACAACGTTTGAACTGGGGTTTTTCAGCCCCTCTGGTAGTACTTCCAGGAATCGATATTTGGGAATATGGTACAAAAGATCTGTTGGGACTGTGGTATGGGTTGCCAACAGAGATACTCCAATTACTGATACATCAGGAGGAGGTGTCTTAAAGCTCACTCATGGAGGAGTTCTCATGCTTGTCAATACTACAAACAGCATCTTCTGGTCTTCGTCAAATTCATCATCATCCAGTAACAACACGGTGAACCCAGTTGCACAGCTTTTGGATTCGGGTAATCTTGTTGTCAAAGATGCAAATGGTGTGAATTTCCTATGGCAGAGTTTTGATTATCCGTGTGACACTTTGTTGCCGGGCATGAAGCTTGGAAAGAACCTAGAAACCGGAATTGATCGGCGTCTATGGTCATGGAAGTCCAGTGATGACCCTTCTAAAGGTGACTGTTCTTTTGGACTTGATCTTCGTGGATTCCCACAATTCGTCCTCATGAAAGGTCCGGTTGAGCAATACCGAACTGGACCATGGAATGGTCTCAGCTTTAGTGGCTCGGTGGGTTTAAAACCAAACAGCATTTACGCATATCAATTTGTTTTTGATCAAAAGGAGGTATATTTTGAATATGAGCTTATTAATAGCTCAGTTTTCTCACGGTCTGTTTTGAATCAGAATGGAATTCTACAGCGCTTGACATGGAATTATAAAACACAGGATTGGACAGTTTACACGAATACACCATCAGATAACTGTGATTCTTATGGGCTATGTCAGGCCTATGGTAGCTGCAGCATTGGTAACTCCCCGGTGTGTACGTGTCTTGATAAATTTATGCCAAGATACCCAAAAGATTGGGACACAGCAGATTGGTCGGGTGGGTGTGTTCGAAGAACGCCCTTGGATTGCCACAATGGATCATCAAATGGATTTCTCAAGTATTCCGGTGTTAAATTGCCTGACACACGGAATTCCTGGTTTAATAGGAGCATGACCCTCAAGGAATGCGAGATGATATGCGCAAAAAACTGTTCTTGTATGGCTTATGCAAATATAGATGTAACAACAGGAGGAAGTGGCTGCTTGCTCTGGTTTGATGACTTGATTGATATTAGGGACTACCTCGCAGAAATTGGACAAGATATTTACATAAGAATGGCCTCCTCTGAGTTAGGTAAAATATATATTCCCAAGCATGTAGATGAGTAGCTTTTACATTCTGTTTGGAAATATAAAAGAAAGTTGCCATGTTTTCAACAGAGAGGAGGCATATAGAAACTCTCACTGAAAAGTGTCTTCTTTTACTGCTGCTTTATTTCTTAGTTTTCCTGCCTTCAAATATAGTTGCTTTACATTGTGGTAAATTTTGACTGTGCAGAAACACATAGCAGCTCCCATGTAGAGGGACGATTGAAGATTATAATCATTCCTATATTACTTGCAGCAGTGGTACTCCTAGGCCTGTTCTTTCTCTTGTATTTCTTAAGGAGGAAGCTGAAGAGAGTAGGTAAGATATCTAGAAGACTCAAATTACTTCCCTTTCCTATTTAGCAAAGAAAACTACAAATTCTTACAGAGGCGAATCCAACCCCATTTTTTAGTTAGATTCCAAGTTCCTATTTTTTGTCTTTCTCATGTCTTGTTGGCATCAAATGTCAAGATTTTCAAATTTATTTCCTTTGCCACTTTATCTTGGTCTCTACCTAGTCACTTTAATTGAGCCACTTTATCTCTACAAAAAGGACAGGTCGTTATAATCTGAATGCTATTAACTATTGATAAAGTCATCCAACCAAAGATTTTTTTTTTGTGTGTGTGTGTGTGTGTGTGTGTGTGTGTTTGTGTGTGTGTGTGTGTGTGTGTGGCTTAATCATAATACTTTCCCTTGGGCTTACATGAATTTTTCAGGATGAGTATAGAGAAACAGAGAAGTTGTTTGTCATGAAGGGTGTGTAGTTGCCTGTCTTGAAAACATCTGTTGAACACCACCTAATCTAAAAGTTTGAGCATAAGTTGAATATTTAGATCATTCAACACGCCCCCACATGTGGCCTTCTATTGGTCCAACAGATGTTTCAATTTTAATTATTAGGGTAGAAGAGCTCTCCAAGTAGAAAAGGAGATTAAATCTCCTAAAATCTGCTAGAGTATGATAGAACGATACAGTATGTACTATAAATAGAAAATGAAAAAGCTTCTAGGTGAACATTCTTTTGTAAGACCTGGAGAAGATTGTGGTGCTAATAACATCAATGATTATCAGGAGACTAGCTAACCCGGCCTTAGGATGCCAGACAGTTATTTGAATGATGACAGTTATCAAGTTGCATCTATAACGTTTTTGATCTTGCAGGTATGGAAACTAAGAATGAAGACATTGAGTTACCATTTTTTGATCTGGACACTATTGTAAATGCCACTAAGAACTTCTCTTCCACAAATATGATCGGAGAGGGTGGTTTTGGTCATGTTTATAAGGTTAAATAAGTAATATTTCGTTTGATATGTAATTAAAAAAAGTGAACCCCTATTTTAACATTGCTATTCAAAAATTTGTAGGGTAAGCTAGCAACGGGACAAGAAATAGCAGTCAAGAGGCTTTCGAATAATTCTGGACAAGGCCTACAAGAGTTCACAAATGAAGTTATTTTGATTACCAAACTTCAACACCGGAATCTTGTTAAGCTGTTGGGCAGTTGCATTGAAGGAGAAGAGAGGATGCTAATATATGAGTACATGCCGAACAAAAGCTTGGATTATTTCATTTTTGGTCTAGTTCTACTCTTCACCCTTTATCTTATTAGACCAATTTCATGGTGCACTTTATGCATTTATGCAGCAGAGTCCTCTGCCCTATTTTTTTTTTAAAAGAACAAAAACAACTGATGTAGAACTTATATGGATGGAAATGTCATGCAGATCAGAATAGAAGACTAGAACTTCCATGGCAAAAACGATTTGAAATTGCCATGGCCATATCAAGGGGACTTCTCTACCTTCATCAGGACTCAAGATTAAGAATCATTCATAGGGATCTCAAAGCCAGCAACATTTTACTAGATGAAGAACTAAGTCCAAAAATTTCAGACTTTGGGATAGCAAGAAGTTTTGGGACTAATCAAATTGAAGCCAAAACAAAGCGAGTAATCGGAACATAGTAAGTTTTGTAAACAAATTTTAGATAGTACTTCTTCATCAGTTTTATATGCTTAAATTTGATACTTTATGCAGTGGTTACATGTCGCCAGAGTATGCCATTGATGGAAAATTTTCAGTAAAATCTGACGTCTTTAGTTTAGGTGTGCTTTTACTTGAGATCGTGAGTGGCAAGAAGAACAGGAAATTTCATCATCCTAATCACTGTCATTCTCTTTTGGGCCATGTATGGTGAAATGTATTACCTATTTTATTTTATTTCTTTCTAACTTCCTATCTGAAATACTAAATTTGAGGATTGTGATTGTTACAGACTTGGTTGCTGTGGAATGATCACAAAGCCCTGGAACTAGTGGATTCATGTTTGAAAAGTTCATACATTGAATCTCAAGTACTAAGATGTATTCAAGTGGGTCTACTATGTGTTCAGAAACTGCCCAACGACAGACCAACCATGTCATCAGTAGTTTTCATGTTGGGTAATGAGGGAGTGGCATTGCCTGAACCCAAACAGCCTGGTTTCTTTGTGGAAAGAAGTTTCATTGATTCAGATTTATCAATGGGTGAGACAAGTCATACTGAAAATGCATTGACAATAACATTAATGGAAGCTAGATAGAAGTAGGACTGCAATTCGGGCGGGACCAACCAGAAATAACCCGAGCCAAGCCCGAAATTTTGTGGGCTTGGGCAATGTGTTTTTAGTTTTGGTTTGGGCCTGGACTATATATTTTGAGCCCGAATTCAATTTGGTCTGGGTTTGGGTTGATATGAATGAAGCCCGAAGCCCAACCTTAGCCCGAAAATATTATATATATTTTTAACTATGCTTAAAATCACAAGTGTGTGTTTGTTTAGGATTTATGCTAAAGGTTTGTTTTATTTTTTTAATCAAATTTTCTAAAAATTTAGCTTTGGTTGATTCACCCATTGTAAAGAATTGGACAATGAGAAGTGGATGGGGTTGAGATATTCTCCCATTTTACTGACTATTCAACTGTATTAATTTTTTTATTTTATTTTAAAGTTTAAAATTAAAGTGAACTTTGTGTCTGGATGATGAACCTACCTTTCTGTAAATCTGATGGAACTAACCCTAGTGTCACGCCCCGCCTATGGAGGTTGTGCCACGCAGGCGACACGCAGACGCTGAGGAGGACGCTGCATGGCAACTGCATGGCAAGTGGAGTTTCTAGAGTCTTCTGGAATAGTCTAGAGTTATGTGGAAGATTCTAGATATGTGTAGAAATGTGTAGAAGTGTGTGGAAGGTTCTACAGTTCTCCAGAGTTGTGTGGAGTAGTATGGAGAATTCTAGAATGTTGTAGATACTAGTAGATAAGTATGGAAGTGTGAAGAAGGTGGGAGAAGATTCTAGATAATCAATCTCCACCGTTGGTTAGAATGCATCCTAGCCGTCCATTAGGGATGGGGATGCCTATAAATAGAGGTAGGACTTCATTTTGCAGGGTATAAGTCCTAGAGTGAGTCTTGAGAGCCTTGTAGAGAGCTTGAGTGCTAGCCTTGTACAAAGCATTCTTTGAAGTAATAGAAGTGTTCTTTCCTTGCCAACTTAAGTGTCTTAGTGTGTGTGAGTGTGCAAGCCAAGTGAGGAGAGGGCGAGTGCAACTACAACACTAGTAAGCGCATGAGGGGAGTGTGTTGGCTAAGGTGTGCACGGGAATTAGGCTGACCAAGTACTTGCGAGAGTGGGAGCAACGTCTTGGTGCCGCACGGGAGCAACTAGAGTGGTGCTGAAACTCTAAGCCCGTGACAGTTGGTATCAGAGCCAGGTTCGTCAAGGGAGCTTTGTTGGAGTAGACATGGCTAGCGGAGGAGACCACCAAGTCCACATCTTAGAGCAGAGCTTGGAGGAGAAGCTTGCCACACACTTGGTCTACACGGAGACTAAGTTTAATAGGCTCGAGAGAAGGATGGTGGAGCTCTACGAGCTGATTGATGGCATCGCCAATAAGGCGCAAGAGAAGGAAAGGGACTTGCATGATCTGGTAGACGACTTGCGCGTGGAGATTGCCGAGTGCAAGAAGGAATTCTCCCAGGCGCGCGAGGTCGTGGTGAAGCCAAGGAAGAAGAAGGCGCCGGAGCCCAAGGAGTACGATGGGGCGAGGAATGCGCGCCAGATTGACAACTTCTTCTGGCACATGGAGCGGTACTTCGAGTGCATGGAGATCGAGGATGATGAGGAGAAGGTGCAGATAGGCACTATGTACCTCACAGACACCGCCGCTCTATGGTGGAGGCAGCGTTTCACCGGTAGGGGCGCAAGAGCAGTTGATACATGGGAGGAGTTCAAAAGGCAGCTCAAGAGGCAGTTCTACCCTGAGTGCGTTGAGGACCTCGCCATGATCAACCTAAGGCGCCTGAAGCAGAAGGGCAGCATAAGGGAGTATGTGAAGGAGTACTCCAACTTGATGCTGGAGATCCCAGAAATGCCGGAGCGGCAACGCGTGTGCTTGTTCATTGATGGGTTGCAGTCTTGGGTAGCCACAGAGCTGAGAAGGAGGGAGCCTAGAGACTTGGCATCCGCAATGGCTATAGCGGAGCGCCTTGAAGACTTTAGGCACGATGACAAGAGGGCCACGTCTCCCAGGAGGGACCACGGTAAAGGTGGGGGAGACCGTCGCTTCAAGAAAAGGGGCTCGCCCAAGTCAAGTGATGATGAGCACAGCGATGAGGAGAGACGCCCACGCCATGATAAAGGCAAGGACCATGGAGAGGGGTCTAAGGCTAGTGGCAAAGGGGAGCGCCGCGATAAGGGCAAGTGGGAGCCGAAGTGCTACTTGTGCGAAGGGCCGCACATATTGCGACACTGCCCCAACAAGAAGACCATAAGCGCCCTTGTGAAGGATAAGGGCAAGGGCAGGGTGGACGATGCGGGCAGCGATGAAGATAGGTGCATGGGGGCTATGCAGATGCTGAGTAGCATGGCGCATGACACCAAGAAGAAGGGCAAGGCAAAGAAGGTAGCTGGGGTGCGCTATGTGGATGCGCAGGTTGGTGGCAAAGCCGTGCAAGCGTTGGTAGACACGGGTGCTACACACAACTTCATTACCCCGGAGGAGGCGCAACGACTTGGCTTGGAGATGCGCAAGACGGAGGGCTGGATCAAGGCCGTCAACTCCGAGGAGGCACGCGTAAGTAGAGTGTGCAAGGAGGTGGAGCTATGCATGCAAGGATGGAAGGGCAAGGCTGACTTCCAAGTTGCGGAGATGGACGACCACGACATGGTGCTGGGGCTGGAGTTCATGGACAGGAACAACGCCGCGCCACTACCATGCCTTGGTGCGTTGATGATACTTGGAGGCGAGGAAGGCAAGGCCGCATGTATGGTGCCGCTCGTGGGCAGGAAGGAGAGTCCAGAGGTGGCAGTCAACACGATGGAGCTCGTGAGGACTTCACATCTCCCGAAGGGCGCTCGTACGTTTGGGCCAAGGACATATGCGCAAGTGCTGATGACCTGCGAGAGGCTGGGTCAGCTGAAGAAACCGTGACGAGGGCGTCACGGAAATGGGTGGGGGAGAATGTCACGCCCCGCCTATGGAGGTTGTGCCACGCAGGCGACACGCAGACGTTGAGGAGGACGCTGCATGGCAACTGCATGGCGAGTGGAGTTTCTAGAGTCTTCCGGAATAGTCTAGAGTTATGTGGAAGATTCTAGATATGTGTAGAAATGTGTAGAAGTGTGTGGAAGGTTCTACAGTTCTCCAGAGTTGTGTGGAGTAGTATGGAGAATTCTAGAATGTTGTAGATAGTAGTAGATAAGTATGGAAGTGTGAAGAAGGTGGGAGAAGATTCTAGATAATCAATCTCCACCGTTGGTTAGAATGCATCCTAGCCGTCCATTAGGGATGGGGATGCCTATAAATAGAGGTAGGACTTCATTTTGCAGGGTACAAGTCCTAGAGTGAGTCTTGAGAGCCTTGTAGAGAGCTTGAGTGCTAGCCTTGTACAAAGCATTCTTTGAAGTAATAGAAGTGTTCTTTCCTTGCCAACTTAAGTGTCTTAGTGTGTGTGAGTGTGCAAGCCAAGTGAGGAGAGGGCGAGTGCAACTACAACACTAGTAAGCGCACGAGGGGAGTGTGTTGGCTAAGGTGTGCACGGGAATTAGGCTGACCAAGTACTTGCGAGAGTGGGAGCAACGTCTTGGTGCCGCACGGGAGCAACTAGAGTGGTGCTGAAACTCTAAGCCCGTGACACTAGGCAGGAATTAGTTGACAAATTTACTGCAGTTTAAAATTTAATGGCGATAATTAAATCACTCGTTCTAATGAATGTCCTTAATCTTCCTGGAGTATGTATAGAAGAATGTGAAAATCATATCCCTCCTCATCCCAAGATACTATCTAACACAATACCAGTGAAGGCATACATAATCTAAACATTTCTTTAAACTATTTTGGCATAAGTATCTTCATAATTAAATAGAAAAATGATAGATCTGCCGATCCAATCCAACGACATATCCTTAATCTAATGAATGTCCTTAATCTTCCGGGAGTATGTATAGAAAAATGTGAAAATCATATCCCTCCTCATCCCAAGATACTATCTAACACAATGCCAGTGAAAGGCATACATAATCTAAACATTTCTTTAAACTATTTTGGCATAAGTATCTTCATAAGCAGTACTAATTAAATAGAAAAATGATAGATTTGCCGATCCAATCCAACGACATATCCTCTGAATTCAACGTGGATAGGCCACGTCAGACCCAAAAACACATAGTTCTTTCTCTCTTCACGATTCCCCTCTTTCTCTCCCTCTATTACTTCCATTGTTCTTCATTTCTCTTCTCTTCACATCTGGTGCTAGCTAAAACCTTATTTGTATGGAAAAAGAATATCCTCTTTGATTTAGGTTGATTGGCAATAGGATCATAAAATGAAGATATATACACAATACATTTATACACTGTCGTAAATGCCGCCACCATGTTCCGCTGCGACGGTCCTCGAACCAGTAAAAAATTCTTTCCGATTGGGGCTATGGACGCAAATACACCGTGGTCGTCAACTGTACCTTCGCCGTGAACCCAAACGAAACATGAACGCTGCGAGAATAAGGGAATAGATGGCGTACCACTCTATGGTTCTTCAAACCCGATCGGTTCAACAAGAAGTCCAAGTTCGGCGGTGGGCCGCAAACCAGAGAGACAAAAAAGCCATTAGATCGGACTACGTCAGGTCCAAGCTCGGCTCTCCGTCGACGGCGAACCGCTCAAATGACTTCGAAACTTAAAGCGGGTGTTCCAACAACTTGTTCGGGCTATCATCAGCGGCGATAACTAGCTTCTTCATCGACTCCTTCTTGACAGAGCTCCGATCCGGCGACGGCTTGGCCCGTGATGTCGACAACAAAGGCAAAGGAGGTCACTGGGTTGGATCTGTTGTGGCGGTGTTGTTGTCAGGAATGATTTGAAGCGATAAGTTTCCGGCGACACACCTCCAAGTGGCTAAGAGATGAATTTCTTAATTGGATGATGATTGGAGTACGATAGTCATGATCTCTAATCCTTCTCTTTCTCATACCCTCTCTGTGTATTTCCTGTGGGAGGAAGCGGTGTGGGTGAATGCCTTTGGTGGTGGTGGATAAAATAAGAAAAGGGGTTTTGTTTTTTTAAGCAGAGAGAATCAAAAAGAGAGAAAGAATGCTCTGTTGTTTGGGTCTGACGTGGCCTATTGAAACGGGTGGGCGCTTGCCCATTTACCCAAAAGTTCGAACTATTAGGTAGTGCTGCATACCCACCCATTTATATCCAATCACTTTCCCATCCGATTCCGATGTGGGACAAATGACCTTTGTTACATTCTCCCCCACCCAAACTCGCAACACCCTCGTTGCGGTTCGGGCCACCCTGCCTACCTGGGATGCTAGCCCGGACGCCTTCCGGGCAGGGTGCTTGGCGTGACACCAGATCAAGGACTGGGTCTGGCTCTGATACCAACTGAAACGGGTGGGCGCTTACCCATT